GTTATCTATTAATACTATCTTTAATTTATCTAGAAGAGAGTATAGATTATTTATATTAATATATATTCTTTAAATAAAGCTTAAGTTTTCTTATTTTAATTACTAATATTTTTTTTTTTAATTCTTCTATAAATATTCTTTTATCTAGTTAATATCTTATTTATTATTTATTAATAATTTTAGTATATACTGGAATATATATTGGATATTAAAGGACTTCTATATTATTCTAGCTAATCTATTTTATAAAGAGTAAAGATTACTGGATAATATTTTTACTCTAATACTTAGTCTCTATAATATAATTATAGATAATATTATAGCTTTATTTAGTATTAAATTTAATTAATTATTAAAAGAAGTATAGATAATAATTAATAATATAAAAACTTTGGTTTCTGTCTTTATTCTTATATTTATAGAAGATATATTTTAATAAGTAAAGAATAGTAATACTCTCTTATATAATATTAATATAGATTATTAATTATATTATTATTTAAAAGAGTAGTATAAAAATCTTAGATTTAATACTTTAAATTATGGCTATTATTATTTTAAAACAGGTTTCTTATATATATAAGCTAATAAAATACTAGACAAGATAGCTTATAAGATATATTTAATACAGTATAGACTAAAGATTTAACTATTAATTTTAAAAAAAATATTATCTATACTTAATTTAGTTCTTATTTAGCTATATAATATTTCTTACTCTAAGTAAAAAGAATTAAATATTATTATATAAGATATTTTAATTAAAGTTTTCTATAAAAAGAACTAAAATAAGTATTTTATTATTTTTTAAAAATTTAGTTCTCTATCTAGATTTTCTTAAATCTAAAGTCCAGAGTTCTATATTAAATTATAGAAACTTATTAAAGCTGGCTATATTATTATCTTAATACTACTTATTCTTTACTATAATACTAATAAATCTTAATTTAATAAGTCTTTTTTTTCTAGAGTAATAGTTATACTTTAATCTTTAAATTTAAATAATAATTAACTTAAAGCCTATTAGTTTATAATTTATATATATATAATATTTATAAATATAATTATCTTAGTATTAATCTATTTAAATATTAGCTTACTATATCTTTAGCAGGTTATTCTATAAGAATATCAAGTATTTTAATAATTACTACTATATATATCTTCTATTAGTATTATAAGATTTTCTTAATATTTATTAAATAGTATAATTCTTTACTATAGGATTATATTATAAGCTAATACTTTTTAGGATAACTTCTTACTTTAAGTAATAGAAATAAATAGACTAAAAAACTTAGTTTATCTAATATCTATATAGATCTATATTTATCAGAATTTACTGCTGAATATATAATAATAATAAACTATAATATACTTAGAGAAAAGTTAAAATACAGATAAATCAGTAATAATATACTAAAAGTTAAACTAAACTAATTTTAATTTTAGACTTTTTAAATAATAAGTAGATAATACTTTATCTTCTAATCTAATAACTTATCTATTCTGTATAGATTATATATACTAATTACTTTAGTTAGGTTTCTACAGAGTATAGAACACTTAATTAATTTAATAGCTAAAGTTAAATATTCTAAAGCTTATTAATAGCTTTATAGTAAGCTATAAATTTAATAAAGAAGAATTATTTTAGTTATATCTTTATAATTCTATTAATTAATATAATATATCTCTTTTAAGCTTTACTAATCTTTAATATAGAGAGACTTTTAATAAAAAGAATATCTTTATAAAAAGACTATTTATAGCTTACTGGTTTAATTATAGAATATAGATTCTATATTAATATAACTTAAGTAGATTAAGTTTTTTTAAATCTATAAAGATTAAAAAGAATTATTCTATCTATTCTTTAAAATAATATAATCTTATTAAATATTAATTAAGTATAGATTATATTAAATACTTTATTTAATATTATCTATAAGATTATCTATATCTTTTTTTTTTAATTTACTGTTTTACTTTTACTAATAAAGTATTAATAAATCTAATTTTATAATTTCTAATATATTAATTAAGTAATAAATAGAAAATTATTAGTTTAATAAAAAACTCTTTTTTATAGTTTTTAATTAATATTAATATATCTACTAAACTGCCAAGTCAGGAATTATAAGTACTAGTATATTATATTTAGAATATTAACTTTATATAAAATAATTTAATATCTAAAACTAGAGTATATATCTTTCTTAAATTACTTTATTAGAATATATAGAATTCTCTATAATATCTTCTCTATTCTTCTTCCAGCTTCTCTTAATTTTCTTAGTGCTTATAGTAACAGAGGATATCAAGCCGTGGTGCTTATTATAAGTAGTTAAAATATAGCAGTTAAGCATAGTATACTTATCTGGTATTACTATTGTTAAGTTTAAGGTGTGCCAGAATAGTTACTATTCTCTATATTAGTAGTATAGAAGATATATTTCTCTACTATTATTTCAGCTCTTACAGTCTTTAAGCCTAATAGAAATAAAAAGATAAAGTATAACAGGAATAGTAAGATTTAGAATATAAAGAAGAAATAGAGAAGAGATTAGAAGAGATATACTCTTTAATATTTCTTAATAAAAAAGAGTAAGCTAAATTAAATAATACAGAATCTAAATAAATATATCTTGATTATAAGTTTTAGTAAACAGTCTTATTATATATTATAAGAGTATTAAAAAAGCCTATTTTATTACTTTCTAATTATTATATAAATATTACTATATAGCTTAATATCTTTTATTAACTAAGCTAGAACTGTTTTATTCTGTATTAAACTATTATAAAACTCCAGGAAGTATCAGTTATTATGGCTTTAATTAATAGATTTAAACAGTATAGGATTTTCTCTTATATTAAATATTTTATTACTATTAAACAATATATAATCATAGTTTAATAATCTTATATAACCTTATGTAGTCTATTATTATTTGTCCTTAGCGTATCCTTCAACCCGGAAAAACTAGAAAAAACCAAATAAAACCAATAACCATTTCTCTACTGTCCTTCCACCGCCTTTCATCTATGGATCCTCTGAAAATGACTATTTTTTAACTCTCAATCCAGACCCCCCTGTACTACTATGTATGTTCCAAGATTGGTAACATATCTGAAATAGATGCGATGGCGACATTTTTTACGGGAAGTAAGAGATTTCCAAATGAAATTATAAATATTATTGTTATATACTTGGATCCCGCAGCTCTTCTGAGTTTTGGGCAAGCGAACAAACATTTACAGAACATCTGCCTCCTTGAGATTTTTAAATCAGTCAAGATCACCTTTTCCACGGCTGGCTTTAAAAAATTGGAACAGTTGGCTACTTCTCGCTTATCCGAACATGTGAGAGTATTGGACTACAGAACTTCCGGTCTTCTCGATCCTGGTAAGTCACATCGCAGTGTGGGCAGAGCAGCACTCACCTAAGCCATGTAGCCGTCAGTGATCTTGACATTTTTCAGTCGGAAATCTATACTCCAGAGGATTTTCGCGATGACCAAAGAGATGCTATGTGGGATGGTGACATACACTATGCAGACATTCAACCGATAATGGACGAGATTGCCAAAGATCAAAATAAGGTGATATATAACGGAACAGATTTTTCAGTCCTATCAGTCTTCCTTTGCAGGAGTCCTCATCTAAAGAAGTTTATGTTTCAGTATATGTATCCGCTCGATTCACTCAAAGACTGGCGGCCAATCCGGGAACATGAAACTGGGCTCCGGAGTATTAAACAGTCTTTCAACCGACATTTCAGGGCATCATTCCACGCCATGCGCTTAGGAGGAATGGTAAACCCTATCCGTTCGTTAGAGATCTCCAATGCCTGGCAAGATCTCGATGAACACAACCATGAACTATTTCAAGAAGTTCTCCAAAGTGTATATAAGCTTCATCTGCAGGATGCCCACATATTCAAGACCGTTGCGAAACATATCAATACACCCTTGCTGAGGTCATTCAAAGTAAGCAGCACGGATATCCTCCACCTAGAAACTTTAAAGGTCTTCTGCAAGAAGAACTGTCAACATCTTTGTGCACTCCATCTGAGGTGCCTTTGGTTCCAGGATCAAAAAAACGGCCAAGAATATGGTGCTAGAGATGCTCCTTCACCTTTTCTTCAGGACTTCTACAAGATCAGAAAAATGTGCCTATTGGAAGAAGTGAGTGTGTATACGCTTCCCCATAGTTATGATAATTTGGAGATGGACGTGCTAGAAAAACTTCTTCTGCGTCAAGTAAAGGAGGCTGATTTAGTGCATCTGTAGAAAAAGCCCTCTTTCCTCATATAATCTGTAATAGCAAGTTATCAGTCTGAAATTATTGGACTATATACACATAGCCTAAGTTACAGAGAACCTCAACTAGCGTGAGCAACAAGCAGTGTAAGCCACCAGTCAGTCCAGGCAACCGGCAGAGCCTCGCCAATTGAAATGCACTTCAAAGGTTAGATAGATCAGACACCTGGGTAGCCATGGGTACTAGGATTCGTAGCCTATACACCCAGCAATCAGTAAGGTTTCCTTAAAAAAGAAAAAAAAACCTAAGCATATGCCCTTCAATGTCCCTCGTCATATGGTCCATTTGCGAGATGGTGGCAGATACCTCCATATCATATAGCACTTGAACACCTCTTTAGGAAGATCCTTAGCACATTTTCCAGGTGAACATTTTCCCCAGTGCGATCAATAGGAACAACTGGAGGACATGAAAAAGGCAAGATAGAGCTACGCAGGCGGCCTCCATACTACAAAGCGTGATCGGCTTGGGCAATAGAAAAATAGTGGATTGTATACTCCAAGCTATCATGCGTATTTGGTATGAGCCAGACAGTAGATTCTTGTATTGTACTTTTTTACCCCGCTTGTTGTGACGTGGCAGACTCAGAATACAGGGGTCATCACTCCGCCACAATGCTCATAGGCGTTATACTATCTTTGTCTATGCCTCTTTCTTTCTACTGTTCAGCTCTCTTTCGCCTTTGCTTTCACTATGCTGCCTGAAATTCTACAATCTTTATCGCAAACCTAGCCCCATCGTGTGAGTAATTTTTTTCCGGAAGCTCCTGTCTTTTCCTTCTTTTCGTGCCCCTATTTAGTTTTGGTAGGTATGGATAACAACAAACCACAAAATGGACACCCGAGGGGATTTACACCTGCAACCGATTCTTTATTTACCTCACCCCGTTCTGGACCCGGTTTCAGAGGTCCTTTGGCTTCTAGTAGCAGCGACTTTGGCACGGAGCCAAAGAAGGATGACTGGGGATCCTTCTGGACACGACTTGAACCAGCCGTGGCAGAACGGGAGCCCGTACAGGAGCCAGAACCTGAGCCTCAACCGGAACCGGAACCTGAAGCAGCGCCAGACCCGGAGCCTGTATTCGAACATGGACTGCCTGATGATCCACTCTACAATAAATGGAACCATCTCAGTCCTAAAGACAGAAAGAAACGAGAGAAATCGCTGGTAAAAAAAGGGTTACCTGTTCCTGGGAAGGACTTCACATGGCCTCCTCTAGTACAGGAGCCTATAATAGAGGAACCAGAGCCGGAGCCAGAACCTGTTGTGGAAGCCGTACCAGAACCGGAACCTGTCCCTGAGCCTGCTGCTGAAGAGCTCGAGCCTCAATTTGAAAATTCCGCCCAACCAGACCCTGAGCCAAAACCAGAAAGTCCGAGGCTAGCCTCGTTCTCTCCTCAATCGGAGAGAAACTTCTGCACCCAAACTACAGCCACGGGTTCCAGCTTTCTCCTTTCATTGCTATCAAAGTAAGCTTAGCCTAATCTTTAATCACAGAATTATGTCTAATGTGATGAAGCATCCGAGATAATGGCGCATTTTCCGACCTTATAATTAAATGTGGATCATCAACTTTTAATACACATTGTTGTATCGTCTGTCCACAGTCTGACTTCTTCCAAAATGCTACGAAGGATGGATCAAAAGAGGTCACGATTATTGATCACCCTTTAGTCATCAAAAGAATGCTTGACTATCTCTATCAGGAGGACTATGACGACTACGAGCTCGCCATCGAACTACAAGCCCAAGGATACCTGGTGCACGCAAATACGGCCAGCCAGGAATGTGAAGTGTTACAAATGATGGCGTGCGTTGATGGACATAATGGTCCCACAGCCCCTGCCCGGAACAATAAACGAACCAAGGCATATGCCAATGCGATGATGTATGTTACTGCCGCCAAATACGCCATCAGAGGGCTTGAGGACCTTGCCGAGAAAAAACTAGTATCAAATCTGATACATGAGTGGAAAGATGCGGACTTTATTCAACTTATTGAATATGTGTATGGGCCGCATACTCCCACAAATCCCAAATTGCAGGTTGTTGTAGCAACATCTGCTACCCGTCATATTTCCACTCTTCAAGAATTCCAGCCATTTCACAGAGTTCTCAAGGAGTTCCCTCATTTCATGTACATATTCTCAAGCCAGATGATGGAAAGGGTGGTTCAATTGGAGAAGGAACTTTTGTAGGCCTTTATGTTTTCCTAGACCCCATGAGTGATAGAATCTTGTAGCAAACGGGGTAATTTTCAGCAATATAACACCGAAAGGTATCTTCGAGGGGCTCGACTTCGCTCAGCTCACCATGATGGCTACTGAAGAAAAAACTGAGATAAAATATCCAAGCTAAGTCTTGTCTTTGTTCGGTTAACGCATTAAATAATAGATTTTCCGACTCAAAATTTCGAACAGTACTCTCGCAGCTCGGAGCTCTAACTCTCGTCGCGGCTTGGTTGTGCTAATTGATCCTTCCACTACTGGTGCATCTCCAAAGGAGGGTTTATCTGCCAAAACCCATACAAGGTCCCCAGAGAGTGCACTTCGCAAGGTCGGGTGGACCGCAGGCCAGGGAGGCCATGGGTACTAGGATCAGCGGCCTATGCTGTCCGATATCTGGCAAGAAGCTAAGTAGACGGAATAGAAGCTGTATGGGCTACAAGTCAAAGGATTAGCGTTTATATAGGATGTTGGCACGGTGACTGGGGTTAGTGGACAAAGCACGGAGGAGCACTATCAGGTGCCGAGAGTCCAGTGTCCGAGGGTACTAGCCTAAGCGCAGTGGACAATAGGTCAGGCACCGGGATCCACCGACAATGATCGCCGTGCCATGAGCCATGTCTTACAAGCCCAATCGGAGCATGATCAGTGGACCATGGTCCAGCCCAGCTCACGGCCCGCCAACTGGCGGCAGAGCGGGCTCGCTGACCGCACAGGCCAATGGCCAGCTGCCTACGGTTACTAAGGGATTCCGATCACTTGAGCAACGTCTCTATTAATGAACTCAGGCAAACTAAGGTAGCTATTAAGTGGCATCTTGGTCATGTTGTTTGGCTTTTCTCCCTCGCTTCGTGTCCTGCCGTGACACGGGAGTCCTCGACATTTCCTCATTCACCGCCACCTCGTCGCTGAATGCTACCAAGACAGTGTTTGTCCCGACCGCAATCGCGGCATCGTAACACTGCTCCGGTGAAACTGTACGGAAACTGGTATCAAAGAAAGTGGCCTTTTTGTTTCGTGCGTCTTTCTTGGCGATTCGGGTGACTGGCGATGGGTCGGATGCATTGACGACCAGCTCATGAACAACCTTGTCCCACTCGCCGCTCTCACCACGAGCCTTGAAAAGAATTGTCACTTGGTGGGATCCGTCCTGGTGTGACCTTTGCACAGTGCTAGCATCACGGACAGTCCCTATAGGGACACGAGGTCGGAGCCGTCGCCTAATATCTGTCGTGGCCGGGGCAGCGACTGGGGCATCGAGACCAGATACTGTGAGGCTAACGGACGTATTTGCGGGCCTTTCGCTGGGTTGCTGTTCGATGGTCGAAGAGTGTTGTGGTGCAGGATGGTTGTTGTGGGTGTCATCAGGTTGCAAATCAGGCGTGGTGCCTTCTAGGAACTTTGTAAAGTCAACCTGTGTAACTATTCGCTCCCGTTGTCTGCGGCGCCTTGGCTGCTGTAGAGGGTGATGGCGTTGCGCAGGATCTGGAGCTCCTTCATGGGAGGGTTATAGTTTTTCCTTAATATTCTGGCCCTTTTTCTTGGTCTTTTTAATCCCTAAAGGCCGACGAACTTTACTCTGGCGATGACCATCCGGCACGTTTGAATTGCGTCGCCCACTCGGTGGGAGTGTCTTCTTTGGCTTTTTATCCTCCAAGCGGTTCTCTGTCAGGCTAGATCCGGAAGGGTCCTCACCTAGAGCGATGAGTGGAGATTCCAAGGCTGGCTCTCGACCAGTAACACTCTGTGCTGGAAGAGCTGACTGGACACCTGCCATTGGCATTTGTACTGCTGGGGCCTGGGCTCGCGGAGGACTGCCCGATATCGCTTCCACTGTGGATGGACGTTGCGTTTGCTTGCCGGTCAGGGATTCTTCGGCCTGTTCTGGTTGCTGAGAGCCCGTCGCCTGGACATAGTCTGCTCCAGTATCTTTGTTTGTTGCCCTACCTTTGTTTTGTGACTGATCAACTATAAGACTTTGTCCTTCTGAGCTACTAGCAATCTGTTGTAGTCCGTGTTCTTCTGCTTTTTCTCTCTCCTGGTGTTGGATCTGCTCTTGTCTAGATTGCTCCCCTGTTTCTCTGGCTAACTGCTCTTGCTCGGCCTCCTTGGCTAGTCGTTCCGCCCTCTCTGCAATTTCTTTCTCTCCGGCTTCTCTAGCCAGTTGCTCCTGTTCCGCCTGGATCGCCGCTTCTCTTGCCAGCAGTTCACGTTCGGCTTGTTCTTCAGCCTCTCTGGCTAGTCGCTCTTGTTCGGCTTGGATTGCCACTTCTCTGGCCACCCAATCACGCTCAACCTGTTCTTCAGCTTCTCTGGCTAGTCGCTCTTGTTCGGCTCGCTCGGCGGCTGCCCGCTCCTCGGCTTCACGTTGAATCCGGGCTTGCTCGGCCGCTCTGGCCCGTCTGTCATGTTCAACTTGCTCTTTAGCCTCTTTAATTAGTTGTTCCCGTTCAGCTTGTTCCTCGGCCTCTCTAGCCAGTCGCTCTTCCATCTCGCGTTGCATCCGCTCTTGTTCAGCCTGTTTAGCCAGGTGTTTCATCTGCTCCGCAATTGCTCTCTCCTCAGCTTCTCTGGCCTGTCGATCATGTTCAATCTGTGCTGCAGCCTCCCTCTCTTCAGCTTCACGTTGGATACATTCTTGTTCAGCACGTTCCTGCTCGGCTTTTTCAGCCGCTTGTCTGGCCACTCGGTCCCGTTCAGCTTGTTCCTCGGCCGCTCTGGCCAGCCGATCTTGCTCAGCGTGCTCCCCAACCTCACGTTGGGCCCGCTCTTGCTCGACTTGCTCAGCAGCTGCCCTCTCGGCTTCCATATCGAATTTCCCCTGCTCCGGCCCAACTTGCTCCATAGTGGCGTCTTCCTCGATTCCCTGGTGACGTTCCAATGAGGCTCTGTCTTCAGCAATGATTTGCTCTTCTCCTTCGCGTATGACTGTATGGTCTGTGGCCCTGACAGCGCCCGCTTCACTAAGAAGTTCATCTTGTTCTGTCCGCCTTTGCAGTTGCCCATGCTCTGCATCTTCCATGGCTAAAGAATCTTCCGTTTCTTCTTGCTGTGGGGCGTCTTGATCAAGTGCTCCCCAGTCCTCAAATACTGGTGAGGCCAGTTCCATTGCCGGAGGGAGATCAGACATACCCTCACCGGTAGACGTCATAATTTGATGGTTTCTGTCAGTCCTCGGCGGGTCTCCTGCCCTTGAGGACTGCCTATTTCAATGTCATTCTTCCCTCCGCCGTTGTTTTTCTGCCCGCTTCTGACGGCGCCGCTCCTCCCTTGCTGTTTCGCGACGCTGACCTACTTCTCCGCTGATATGGAGACTGGCATCAGGGAAGGCGTTATGCCTCGACTCCCCAAATGGAGACTGGCCGACGAATAGCAGCGATGATGGCGAAATAGATCCAGGAGGAGAACTCTTGATGCTCATTAAAGAATCCAGTGAGCCACCCGCTAACTTTCCAAAGAAGGCGAAATAGACGCATCTTCTTACAAAAAAGGCAGAAGCTCTACAGATGGCCGAGGCTTTATTGTTGTGGAGCTGGTTGAAGAAGATGTACTGATGATCTTGATTTTAGGCGTTAGCGCGCGGGTGTCCTTACTAAGCCCTGGGCTGGATCTCTTGACCGTCAATGTATTCGCTTGAAGGCTGGTGATCAAGAGGAACAGCTAAGCGAAAGCAGTCCACAATTTGGTCAATAATTATATCAAGCATGTCACTGTTATACCGGTATCGATCGGGCTTCCGGGCTTTAACCAGTGCAGCATGTGCGATCTGACAGTCAGGAGATTGAGCAATGAGCTCCCTGATTTGCGGAGAATCAAATCCAAGTGTCTGCGCAAGAACTGCCATGTTATACAGGACTGTCTTGTCAGTCTTTTCTCAGCTAGCTTTTACCACAGGGTCATCTCTCTCTGGTTCTTTAGCCACTTTTGGGTAATGGCGTATGGCATAAAGCCAGAGCTGTCAGTACCCTAACTTAGCTGGGCTAATTGAGGGCTCTGAAAGCCGCCTATACCCTGTTTCAGATATCTGGATTAGACACCCTGCACTTGTTATATTGGCATGCTTAAAGACGTTTAATACAGCGCTTCTAACTGTACAATGGGCTTTAGTAGGCACAACAAGTCACTTAATGCAGTTGGCACATGATTTGAGATATCATAAATTCTGAAAAAATAAGTAGAGTAAGGGAATAATGTCCTTTTTCTTCTTAAGCCTTTTCCAAACAGAAATATGTTTAGATTTGGTAAAATTTGAGAATACTGCACTGCTGAGTCCCAGCCTCTTTACCTTCTTCTTATCCTTGTTCGAGACTGCAGGGGCCAGTAACTGTAGAGCCTCTACTGTATAGATGTTAATTTTCAGTATCTTGCTCTGATCATGCCTGACAAGCGACGCCCAATATTTAAATAGATAGATCAGGCTATTGACCATCTCCTTCATTAATCAGCATTAGAAGACAGAAAGCGGTTTGTAAAAGAGAGTATAAATCTTATTAATATTGATAGCTAACGCCCGTGGAATGGATCCAAGCTTCATCCCATGCTCCAGCAGTGCAGGGAGGGCCAGCAGGGCATTAAAAGCAGCGCGAATATCCTCATAAGCGGAGAGCTGATTTAATTGTTGTACTTTATTTACTGACATCCAGGCCTTCCAGCGCTTCTTGAAATGTGTATTTGCTTTATACTGGTATTATCACACTTTATGATAGACTTTGCCATCGCTTGGTGCTCTTTCATTTAAATACTCATCGACAAGAGCAGCTTGCAAACCTGGACTTAGGTCTGTGTCAAGTCAGTATTGTACAGAAGTCGGAGTGGAGGAATAGAGAAACTGAGAAGAAACAATAATAATAGGTTGAGACAATGCCTGGAGGATAGATAATCATTACTGTCTAGGTAAAGATTAACAGTCTATCATTAGTCACTGTCTGGGAGAATTTCCTCCGCGGCTTTAAGACGATACTGGCCATGGAGATATTATACTTGGCCAATAGGAAACTGCAGATAAGTATAATAATCAGAAGGATTAGTTATCAGCTCGTGCACGCTCACGTGGGCTGCTTAAAGGGCAGTATCGAGATGATACCTCGATACCACTGCTGAGACATGGTTATGAAGGTCCAACGGTCGACAGTGCTCTTTCCTGAAGATCTTATATAGTCAATGGATATTCTTCAGGTTGATCTTTCTCGCGATAGATGGATGGGGAACTATTTGGTCCAGATTAATCTTTGTAGTCTCTTGATACTTCAGATTTCGCTCCCTGGCGAGTTGGAGTTCAGCATCTGTGTACATAGCTCTATCCATAGCTGGTGCACAGAACAATTTTCGTCACTTCAATAGTATCTTGTAGACAGAATCTTCTTGCTTTTTATTATCTGGTGACCTGACAGTGGCCTCTTCTGTTCACTGCTGATTCAGCCTTCTGATAACCGCCTAAATATAGAAGCCACTAGAAGGCTGCTGTCCCTTTCCTCTTTAATATTCCCTGTTTAATCCTCTCCTAATATAAACTAAGCCATTTGTTGTTCTTTCCCAGTATTTGCCTTCGGTATTATTGCTCATACAGTTGCAGTGTCCTTCGGGTATCTCTACATATATCACTATGTCAGGAACATCAGATAAGCATTTAACACGTCTCGATTTTAAATCTTTCCAAACTTAACAAGCCTCTCAATCTGAATCACACTTGTCAAAATGTCACCCCGATGAGGCTGGAAAACCAGGCCGGTCCTTCAAGGATACTCAGTCTAAAGAGCTGAATAAAAGACAGGCATCGCCTATAACTGAGCAGGCTGGTAAGATTATCAAGGGTTCGCTGAAAGGTGCAGGCCTCCCTTAAGTCATTGAGCATATGGATACACGCTGGCCATTAATTGTAAGAAATAAATCTCCCTGGGATATCTTCTAGAAGCATTTCAGCTGTTAACTGCTAGCAGATACCGTGATTATCACCACTTATCACTCTCGCCCTTCTAGGGTTATAGCGATTCGGGAGCACCCTACAGAAATTATAGAGAAAATACTACACTGTTTCTGTCATATCTAACATGAGAATATTCTGTCAGCAACTGAATATTATAGAGACAGGGATACCCTCTATACTGTTGTTAATGATATCCCACTTATATTGGAGTACCTAAATTCGAGTCGCAACCTTTGTCCCACCCAGCTCCAACTAGGGACAATCTTAAACCAGGTGAAGACCATTTATTGTACTACTATATTCAATATTACTGACCAGGAAAGGTCCTTGACGGTATCTCCTATCTTGTTGCGAGTGGATTCGAGTACCGATCCCTAACATGTTCTAATATCCTTCTCGCCCTTGATGGCACTATCAAAATCGGTGGGTCTTGCTAAACTGCCTAGAAATACATAGCTAACGTTAGCATAGCCGGCTTGGAGTCATGTGTCGAATCCCCGCCAAGCAAGTTGCAGGCTTTGTCTATTAAAGCTATCGCCACCATGACGATGGACCTAATGCGGACATACGAAAAGGATAACGGAGTGGTGGGGGTTGATGATTTAGATCTATGGCCCGTCGACTCGGACGCGTTCAGTTTCCTCTCTATGACTTCCTCCGCTGGATCTATTGAAATGCTGAAGCAAGTACGTTGACTTCCATCATCTTTATGCCTAGATTCCATCCTCACTTACTTGAATAGCACCCGCTCATCAATAGTCCCCCACGACATCGAGGTCAACTTGTCTGTTTGGCTCGACTTGCTATCATTTCCGCGAGAACCTTCTTTTCATTAAAGCTTTAAGGCTATTCTTGCCCTTTATCCTTTCCTTGTTTACTCGACTGTATATACGAAGTTGGTTTTCAGGAGATACTGCATAAAGGTGTCATGATACTTCTATAGCCTTTAGACTCTGGAGACAATAGAGGATATCGTGCCCATGCTTAGTTAGGGCTAGTTAGATCGGGAAGGCGCCTAAATTCTACAGTAGATGAAAGGGGGTGACATGATTTAATACATCTTTCATCAATTGCTATTACTTTTACTCTGTCTTTTGCTTTCTTTTTTCAACTTGTCTAATCATTGTGCGCTTCAAACATAGATTTAAAATGCAACGACAATGATCGTCGTTGGTACTGCAGTAGAACGTGACTGGTATCCTCGCAGCCTGCAGAGATGGCAAGGCTAACTGTTTCAAATTAAATAACGTCTTCCATGAGGTAAAGCTTATTGGAAGTCGCTAGAATGGTCCCTCAGTCATCCGCAGAGATTCAGTGATGCTTCTCCGGAGCTAGAACAGGCTATTCATACTCAACCATGGGTTTCCATGATCTTCCTTGGACATACCTGTATTCGTACGGCGTTCCCTGTGGCTAAGTTAGCATCAGGCAGCTGAGTCAGCCCTCTGATTATTGGGTTCGATGGGTCCGTGATGATTCCCCTTTTGTCTGTACCCTTGTACGTACATGTTTAATGGCCATTTGAAATCCGACCATCATTATTCTATTTGTACCTTTGTTCATGCCCGGCTGCTATTGGTTGTTCCCAGCCGCCCACTGTCTCCCAATAGGGGCCACTCAAGAACGAGTATTTCTATTAACTAAGAACAAGAAATAAATTAGATCCCGGGGGACAGTACTTGGAGAAGATGAAATCTCTCCACTGTTTACCCAGGCGATACAGTACTTCCCAAAATATATTTCCATGATATACACTTCAAATTTATCTCGAACCCTACATCTAAGTTTGCACTAGACTGTCTGTAGCTAGTACCCGTCGAACAAGCCAACCATGTTGCAGAACTCAATAAGATCTAACTATATTTAGATTGTTTGAACCTTGGCAACAGGGTTCGAAAACAGTTTTGAAGTGTATATCATGGAAATATATTTCGGGAAGCACTGTAAGCAGCCCTGAAGGTCTCAAGGGCAGGGGTTCCTGTTCTCAGCTGTCTTCTCCGAAAGCCCAGCATAACGCTCCATCGTTTTCTCATAAGATTCATGGCAGCCTTGACATTCTCGAGGGCGTCTTTAAGGGAATAGACAAGACTATCGAGATTGTTGTAGCCAGTGTCAAGGGCTGAGTATTTCTTGTCAGGAGAGAGGCGGGTTCCGGGATCGCCCCGAAGGGGACCCTCAAGGTGCAGGGCATTCTTTACGGCTTGAAGCTCCCCGCGGGCCAGATCAAGGTGGCTACTGCTACCGTTGATAAGGTTTTTGTCATCGACTAGAAAGACAAGCACAGAGTCAAAAGGAAATTAAGATAACAAACAACTGGCTGTACTTACTGCTGACTAGACAGCCGGGGCCAGAAACACGAGGAGTGTCATCGGCCATTATGAGCGCTGAAGAATCACCTGAATCAGAGAAAAGAATGTCCAGAGTACCCTAAGTAGCTAGTAAAATGCTCAACAGAGGGACTGCACTGCGCCAGCGTTAACTATATGATAAAGTTCAATGGTAGACGAGATAGGATGGAAAAGAGAAAGATCAAGAAATACAAGAAAGACTATATAAGGTCACTATAATAGTAACACTGAGAGTGATGTTGCGGATCCACTACATCTCGCTTCGCTGGCTAGAAAACACGTCCTTCATCTCCCCCTATCATTGAAAAGGCCTCGAGGATCTGGCTTTGATGTTCACCGTAGAACCTGTACTTTTCACCCTTCACCTCATCCTCTGTTGCCCATGCAAATGACTGATGCTCTTCAGGATTCAGTTTTATCGTCTTTTCCCATCCTAATTCCGACTGCGACAGCGCAACAATACATGAATAGCTAATCCAATCGAACCTCTCCCCGTTTCGGATGGTTGTCCATCTATGCATAGGAAGAAAGTGGACAATGCGTGAGAGGTGCAGTCCTGTCTCTTCACGGACTTCCCGCTCGAGACCCTCTTTCAATGTCCTATCTTTGCTGTCAATGCCACCCCCGGGTCCCTCCCAAAACCCAGGTTTACTATCTTGAAGGGCACGCTGGAGCAGAAGAACACGAGGTCGAGTGGTGTTATTTAATCTGTCATAGCTATCGGTTTCCAAGGGATTATAGGACGACCAGAAAAAGATAAAAGCAGCTACTTGGATACAGTACGTAGTGCCATGATTCTAAACCGATTGTCTGATATGTGGAAAGGGGACAGATCCATATCCCAATCAAGATGAAGGTGCTTGTTCGACCATTCGGTGACGTTCTTTGCTGCTAGATCTGGGCTGTTGCGGTATTGTAGAAGATAGTTTTGAATGTCTGCTGCTGTATACTTATACAGAGGAATCTTTTCGGCGAATATGGTGGACAACTCAGTGATATAACCCAAGTCCCATTCTGCAGAGGTCAGTGTAGGAGATGGGCAGAAAGTGCTGTCTGGTGCTCGCTGTCCCATAAAGAGACCATCGGCAGGCCCCGAATAGAAGAGGATAAATTGTTCCTGGCAGGCTAATCAGTTTGTGTGGCCAAAGAAGACCTGCATGTCAACATGTCCTGGGCATAGTAGAGCAGGATCAAGCTGCTCAACGTAGTTGGTAGTCATGATGAAAATATGCCCTTCTTGCGCAGATACACTATCAATGATATTAAGAAAGCCAGAAAGAGTAATGCCATTAGGTATTTATTTATAATTTTGAGGTTCAGAAATCCTGCTTTCTTCATTATCTATCTCTTCCGGTATTTGTGAGAGATTGTTCTCAGGCTTTCTTTTCTGAATACCGGCCTGGTTAACATCTTCAAAAAGAACTATATATCTTATGGGAAGTTCTTAGAATAGAAGAGCTAGACTATTCTTGTCTAGGCCATCTGCAGTAAGGCTTACAACAAAGATGTCAAGCTGAACAAGACTGGCGATACCCAGATATAGACTCGACTTTCCTGTACCAGACAGACTATAAAAAAGATAGCCTTGTTGATATAGAAGACCTCAAGACTGGTACCAGGAATAAGTACCGGGAAGAAGATAGTTTTGGATATCATTAATAATATATGTCTTCAGGTCAGGATCCAAAAGAATAGTTAATAGCAGTTGAGGTTTTTTGGATGCCGCGCGTTTCTATTAGAAAGTAGATCCTATCTGAAGACCTTGCTTTATAACCATACTATAGTTATTCTTCTTAACAGAGTCCTTCTGAATATTGTTAAGGAGATCTCTGAGGGTATTCATTTTCTATGGCGCCATATAGAGATACAGCTTCTCCATTCTCGCAGTCCAAGGGCTGAAGTTGTCTCTGTATGCTTCACAGTAAAAGGCAAACCAGGTTTCTTTATACTTAAAAAGATAGATCTGATCACGTGCAGAGGTATAATGAATTGTCCTAAGTCTGTCCTAATGCCTTTGTTTTGTCCAGAACTGTAGTGGGTCTGTTTTTAAGAGTAGCTCATCTTCCTTAGACAGAGCGTTTCTGCCATTGTTCTCATCCCATTCATTGTCGCTCCAATGTGAGGCAAGGTATGGTTTTGTATCCGCGGTAGATTGTCGTGTTTGGCGCAAGTCAGGATAACCTGAAGTCCAGTAGAGAATATTATCATATAAGTCTGTGTGGTAGGGGATCTCAACCGATATAGCAAGACATAAGAGAGTTGACAAAAAGTGGTCCCAGAATACTGGCACAGCGTACACCAAAAAAACCAAAGGTATCCCAAAGGTAAGCATATAGGATGAGGCATCGATCGTGAAAATGAAAGAGGTAAGATAGATGAGTAGACTATAACCGGGAATAAGAGCTTCAAGTGTAGCTGTGAGCGGTTGTGGGCTGGTCATGATGATTGATGAGTTCTTATTGAAAGACATGGTGTGCAATGTAAGTGTTCTGAGATGAGACTGTTGGCTGACAAGGAACTGAGCAGCATCTTTTATAGGCCAACCAGTCTGGCTCAGAACACTTACTTCAAAAAGTCAGCTCCAAGGTTAACAATTTATTGACATGGAATATTGAGCTGTCCACCCACAGTGTGACAAAGGTACAGTGCATTTGACATCACACTACCTAAGCAACTAAGCATGTACGCATATTGAAACTACAATAAGCACTAGATAAGGAATACCATATAGGTTGCTAAGCCTCGATTATACCTGACAAGTATAAATTGAAGGCAGCATATTTTGCTGTGGGACCGTCTTATGACAGTAGTGCGCCACGGAAGTATATCCTTCGAGCCTCTCCATTTCCCCTATTGGTAAGTGGGTACGTTTCTAGTTCCAGTAAGCAACAGACATGGTGATCTCCAACAAAAGAACAAAATACAATGTGCATCCCTGTACATAGAGTACAGTTTATCAACAGACCTTTTTCTTTCCCTTTGAGTAGTTCCGTGGTTGCCATGATACTATCTCCACTAGAATAATCAGTTATGTAGTTCGCCACGTTTTGTAAAAGAAAGTATATTGGTAAGTGGTTAAATATCCATGTAAAACAGAAGCCATATAATAAAAAGAAATGCGCTTGAGTATATCTAAAGTACTTAAGGTAAAGATTATCAAGACCCTGGAATGGAATGAGACAATAATATGTGATTCCTTGTCCCTTGAGCATGTAATGGGGCTACCCCTCCTCCCAGCCCTTTGAGAGAACCGCTCCATAGATGCCAAAAGTCCCGTCCCCACCTACAATGATCAACTAGGCTACTCACACCATTCAGAAAAAGAATAAAGTATCCACTTTCCGCTGTCCTTGAACACTAAACTATATCTCAGAAGTTCAATTTTATTGGATCTGAATCACTATTGATACTAAAAGATACAGTCTTTTGCCCCACTCAAACCTTCCAAGATGATTACTGGGCAGTTTGTTCACTGACTTGCTTTTTGGCCACATGGGTCATGATGCTGGTTTGTTACTGTCATTAACCTGGGGATGTTTAGTGTATCATATTACTGCACTTACAAGATGTTGTATCAGAGTGCTGAATATACCAGTTATGCTCATACTTTGCCACGAAACTTTCTCTTTACTAGTTTAGTAAGGATAGTAATGATTTTATAGAACTCACATGAAGCTACAACAACCCAGTTTTATGCCTGGATAGACAAGTGCGTTGACCTCATATGCGATATCTTCCAAATTAGGACACGTATAATGCACATATAAGGTAGACTCCTGAGCTTCCGGGGCTTGATTCTCAATCCATATTGGTTTGGCGTGTTGGTCCAATTCTGACTGAGGTCTGGTATGATTAAGTGTCAGACTGGCGTTGCCTCTGTCGTAATAGAATGTTAAAACGGAGTGTCGTTCGCAGTATTGAGTGGAAACAGAGAAAACCCGAACAGACTTTAACGGGCGCAAAGGACCACGACGGGTTGCGAATACGTGGGTGTCCATAGTTGAAAGGTTTGAGAAAAGAGAAGATATTCCTATGTACAGACAGCGAAGCGGCTATAAATGAGATTCAATGGCAGTAAAATCCGTACCGCCTAACATGAAACCATTCATCTTTGGTCAGATAGTAAGCCAATTCCCGCCTCAATGCACCCTGCTCCTCCCTGTTAAAGAATGACACTGTGCAGCCCATAATCTTGGGTTCCTCTCGGTACTTTACACCAAGTAATATAATAGTCTCTTGAACAGGAGAATCAAGAACGCCTGCATAGCCGAGTAACTCAATTTGGTCCCTAGTCAACTTATTTAATACAGGAAATGTATGGCATACCTGCTTCCGTAACTTATCTTTTAATTAGCCTGTTCAAACCGAGGCGTTAAGGTAGCAGTCACTTACTGTTTCTGGTAAACCTGGCTCCGGGAGAATAATTATTTCTCCACTGTCCCTGTATATTGACATCTTAAGGCGCTGTGCCTCCACGGGATGATCACTTGGTGGGCTCGGTGCCCTCGTAACGCTAGGTCCTCCTGCAGAAGAAAGGTGGTCATCTGCATTTCCTCCTGTGATATTGCTCCTATCAAATTCGCTGGAGGGAGTAGATAGTTGGGTCTCTGTACCGGTATTTCCAACAATGGTACTTCTATCGGACGCAGTCTCATTGGCCAGATCCTTATTTTCCTCCACATTTTGATTAGAGCCACGATCCCCTTGGTGACCAATATGACTAGATTCCATGATGGTATTGTTTTCAACAATAAAGTTCTCCTCGCTGATATATCTGATAAAGGTGGTCTTCCCGTTCTGTCACGTTAGAATCTCCTAGCTACTTGATGGCTCATACTCACAGCATCTATTCTTGCCTCAAAGGGAGGCATCTCACCGGAAAAGGGAGTCAGGTCATCGGAAAAGGGAGTCAGGTCATCGGATTTTCTCCACTTTCCCAAGCAGCGGAGTAAGGCAGCAAACCAAGTCATGATTAAATAAAATGTACGGTAATTAGAATTGGCTCTTCAAAGATGGATTAATGGAGACCTGTGTTGATCCGTGCCAAAATGCGGTGAGCACTTGGGATGAGTCTGGCATCTTTATAGACGGTGCTCTAGTCTATGGTATCCTAGTTACAGCTTCATGCCACCAAATTTGGTAATTAAATCGATAGTAAACCAGAGTGATAACACCACCAGTAAGTTATCCCCCATTTCCCATGGCCTATCTCTGTGGTTAGCACATGATGCCGCTCCGATTTTGATTCGAAATCATAGACATCTACCGTGTACCCAGTAGCCCATGCATTTGCTCAGATATCGAGGTAGTGTTGTAGGCACTACCACATCCAAGCATCCTTAGACCCCTAGTAGTGTCATATGATTGGCGAAATCGTCATCAGTATGGTGAAAGCCGTAGCCAACCTTCCTGCTGGAAACTTCGATACAGTTTTAGAATCAATCAAGAGATTCTCCGTCATAAACAGATGAAATTCAAGTCTGTGGTGAAGAGAAAAAACCACTGTCCATGGTGAAAGTAATGATTCAATCCCTTGGATAGCAAAAAAGAGTTCATGTAGGTAACGGGCAACAGGAACAGAAGCCCGCGATGAACAGAGGAAACTCAAATTCATGACAACTAAAGAAATCCGAGGCTGAAAACCTTGGCGCGGCGGAACGGGTAAACTTTGTTACAAGTTGTAATCAAACAGGCACACTACTGAAGGGTTACTTAACTAACATGGATAAGCGAGCAATATGAGGAATCTGCTTACTTGGTGATGAGGCGCATCTAACTGGGGCCTCCGGACTGTAGTTAGGCCCTCTAGTTCTTATACAATTTGATTCTCATCGCAACGGTAGACTTTGTCTATCAAACTTGTCGTTTCCAGTCAATAAAAGAATACGCAACGTCCGAGATCCCGTAGCCTATACTAGAAAGTGTAACGGTTCAGGCCAATGTAGATAGATTGATCTAATTGAGTAGCTCTAATATGAGAGAATCGCTTAAAGAAGAGGATATCAAACAGAGCTTCGCTTGTGGGATATTGTCTACCTCGCATACAAACAGAACAAACAAGAGTTATGTCACTACTTGCTTACATTCACTACAAACTCAGCAGCCTGTATAGAGACTGCGCCGTCACAGGTAGAACAAATGTTCAGGTACAAAGTGTCGTAGTTGTGGTATAGTAGAACTAACTAAATTTGGGCTATAAGTAGCACGGTGGACCCTTAG